ACTTTGAGCCATCGCACCACTTCATGTTTTTTGGTAATTAATTGGAGATAAGAGTGCCTGTTGCACTGCAATTTCAGGTCTCAGTCTTCTAAGTAGCTAGGATTACAGGTGTGAGCCACCAGTGCCTGGCCAGTTTATAATTTCTTTTCTCTCTCTCTTTTTTTTTTTTTTTTTTGGCCAGTCCTGGGTCTTCAACTCAGGTCCTGAGTACTATCTCTGAACTTCTTTTGCTCAAGGCCAGTACCACTTCGGGCTTTTTCTGTTTATGTGGTACTGAGGAATCCAACCCAAGGCTTCATGCATGGTAGGCAAGCATTCTACCAGTAAGCCACATTCCCAGCCCCAGCTTATAATTTTTAACGCCAAAAATTAAGCACTTTATATATTGTCTTTTTACTCTGAGGTTATTGCTTTGAGTGGAAGACCATGGTTATCAAGAAAAATTTTGCTTTTTCTCTTTACTAGTCTAGAATTAAATTTGTCCTCTTAGTAGTTATATCTTACAAAATTTCTAAATTCTAATGTTTTAGCACTTAATCTGTTTGTGGAGGATATATGCAGGAACTTGTTTTGATGAGGTCTAGTTATAAGGAATAATTGTAGTCCCTAAACAGTTCACTATGTGATTTTTTTTTTTTTTTTTTTGGTTGGTCATGGGACCTGAACTCTGGGCCTGGGCACTGTCCCTCAGCTCTTCAGCTGAAGGCTAGTACCACTTCTGGCTTTTTTCTGCTTATGTGGTGCTGAGGAATTGAACGCAGGGCCTCATGCATGCAAGGCAAGCACTCTACCACTGAGCCACCTTCCCAGCCCCACTATGTAAATTTTTATTTAAAAAAAGTCTTTAAAAGCAAAGTCTGTAGATGAATGTAAGTTATTTATCTCAACCTTGTAATGCTTAACCTTCTCACGTGTTAGTTTAATATCTTTTGTAATATCTGGAGAAATGAAAAAACTGGAGTGTTTGTTACAAATCTGCTCTAATAGTTTTGCAGACATTGAATAGACAGTAGACTTAGTATTTTACAGTCTCTTTCTCTGTGTTCCTCCCCCTACCCCACAAGTTTTTGTACTGGGCTTGAACTCGGGGCCTAGGCCCTGTCCCTTACTCACGGCTGACACTTACCACCACTTGAGTCACAGCTCCACTTCTGGCTTTTTGGTGGTTAATTGGAGATAAGAGCCATGGTTTTTCTGCTCAAGCTGGCTACGAACCTCCATCCTCAGATCTTAGATTCCTGATGAGTGAGGATTACAGGGGTGAGACACCAGCACGTGTCAGTACCTTGCTTTCTGTAAACTTTTTAAATAATCATCTGAGCTGGAGGCGGTAGCGCACATCTGTAATCCTAGCTACCTCAGGAGGCTGAGAGCTGATGATGGTCGTTTGAAGCCACCCAGGGTAGGAATGTCTGTGAAACTTATTTCCAATTAACCACCAAAAAAAACCTAGTTGAGCTATGGCTTAAGTGATAAAGTGCTAGCCTTGAACAAAAAAGCTCAGGGACAGCACCTAGGTCTTGAGTACAAACCCCAAGGCTCCTTCATCCACCACCTCCCCCCAAAAAGCCATCTGGGACAGTGGCAGAAATGAACTTAGGTGAAGTTGGAAAGCTTTTAATCATAGTGAAAGGGCTGTCTATACTTTTTCCAGTTAAAAACCCTGGCTTTATTTTTACTTTTTGTACTACTCAGTGTACAGAGTCAGTGGGAGGGATTATTCACTTGGTGAGAATGAGTGGACTCTGTCCTTATTACAGAGTGATATGTAGGATGTGTTGATTGAGCAGACAGTAAGTTCATAGTGGAAGAAGAGACAACTCTTAGTGTTTCACTGGAACAGATTAGAAATAGAGTTTATTCAAAGGGTATATAGACTATCCATACAGTAGAGGAAGCTTCCTATGCTTAACCTTTTCACCCATTTGCTTCCTAAGTGCATTACAATTTCTTTAAATGAGATCCAAAGATAGGTGCTGGTGGCTCATGTCTGTAATCCCAGCTACTCAGGAGGCTGAGATCTGAGGGTTGCAGTTTAAAGCCAGCACCAGCAGGAAAGTCTATCTGTGAGAGTCTGATTTCCATCTAACAACTGAAAAAAACAGCTGGAAGTGGAGCTATGGTTCAAGTGGTAGAGAGCAAAAATAGCTCAAGGAAAAGTGCCCAGGCCCTGAGTTCATGATTCTAGGACCTGTGTGTATGCATGCACTCAGAACAGGTTTATTTCCCTTATAATCCCTATTTTCTTCCAATCCCATTATTTTGAAGAAAAACCTAGTCATATAATTGCAATAATTAGCAATTTTTATAAATAGTGGGTTTATTATTTAAATTTTTTGACCCTTCTGAGTAGCTAGGATTACAGGCATAAGACACCAGTACCTGTCTGTGCTTTCTTTCTTTCTGTGTGTGTGCTGATAGTGTGACTTGATCTCACAGCCTGAGTGCTGTCCTTTAGCTTTTTCACTCAAGGTGGGTGCTTTGTCTCTTGAGCCATACATAGCTTTTTGATGGTCATTGGAGATAACAGTATCACAGACTTTCCTATTCTGAATGATCTTGAACCTCAGTTCTCAGATCTCAGCCTTCTGAGTAGCCCAGATGACAGCACTATGGCCTTAGTTTTGGCTGTCTGAACACCTGTGTGGCATCACCAGCAGACATACTTTTGCTTTGTAGATAATGCTGCTTACACTAATGATCAATGTCCAATTAAAAAGTCTTAAGAGTCTATATTACTTAAAAAAAATTTTTTTATAGTTCTGGGAGATAAACTACTAGTCAGGCACTACCACTGAGCTACCTCTCCAGTCTTTGTATTGAAGAGTATTTCCCTTTTGTATTTGTCCAGTCACAATAAATGACTTATTTAGTGTTCATTGTCTTGGTCTTGGTATTGCTTAGCCAAGAATTTAAAGTAGAATTAACTGACAACTACTCCTAATATGAGACAGTTGGCATTGTAATATGGAACACAAGTTCTGAGCCAGACATAATTGAATTAAGTAGAATATACTAAGGCAAGACCTTGGCTTGAGAGATCAGCACAGTTCTGGTATAATAGTAGATTGTTGGGACTTTTTTTTTTTTTTTGCCGGTCATGGGGCTTGAACTCAGGGTCTGGGCATTTTCTCTGAGCTTTTTTGCTCTAGGTTAGAGGTCTACCACGTGAGCTATACCTCCCCTTCAGCTTTTTTGGTGCTTGCTTGGAGATAAGAATCTCACAGACTTTCCTGTAGTCCTGGCCGGCTCTGAACCACAGTCTTCAGATCTCAGCTTCCTGAGGAGCTAAATTTACAGGCATGCCAGGAGTGCCCAACATATTTGGATTTCTTTTTAAAAATTTTCATGGGAAAATTTTCTAGCCTTGCCAGAATTTCAGAATTCTGGGGCCACTCAGAGCAGAACCTGCACAGCTTGTGAAACACCAAGAAGAAAACTTTTATCCAGTTAGAGACTATGCTGTATCTGAATCAAGTTATTTAGAGAAAAAGAGGGAAGGAATATGCATGTGTTAGTTCCTCGGCTATTACTGTGGGACAGGACAACTTACTATTCTTCTGAAGCTACTTCTGTTTGAGAATCTATAAATATATCTTGCTTAACTTGGAAAACATTTTCAGCCCTAAATGTGTTCTCTCATTGCATGTGACATTTTGTGGTTGTGTATCATAAAATGACAGAACCAGTCAACTGCTAGCTGCATTGTTAGATACTAAAAGAAACTAGCAGTTTAAAATTTTCTGTTTTGTTTTTAATAGTCATGTAAAATTGGGAAGCAGGTTGTAGTTTGCTTGATTCTTTGGGATGCTAGGTAGAATGCTAGCTATCAAACCCAGGCGAACACTCTGCGAACTGAGCTCTTTCGCCAGCCTGGTGGTTTTGTTTTGTTTGTGGTGCTGCTACTAGTCCTTGAAATGGGCACTGTCCCTCAGCTTTTCTTCTTTTAAAGGCTGGTGCTCTACCACTTGAGCCACTGGCCTTTTGATGGCTAATTGGAGATCACAGATTTCCCCTGCCTGGGCTGGCTTTGAACCACACTCCTCAGATCTCAGCCTCCTGAGTAAGATTACAGACATGAGTCAACAGCACCTTCTAGGAAGTGGGTTTTAAATTTGAAAAGCAACCATCTCTTTCAGAGAAATGGTTCAAATGATAGTGGATGTGTATATGGATTGGCAAGATAAGTAGTTTATAAACTACTTTTTTGCTAAGGAAGCTAACCATTTTAGGAGAAAAGCCAGCATGACTATTTTATAGATAAATTGGATATCAGAGTTGGAAAGTCTATTGGGTTCCAAAAATAAGAGGGACTTTTAATTGCATAACAGTATGTAATATCTTGAACCACATAACCATTTAGGGCTCTTTTGAAGTGAGTTACAGACTTCCTATTTTCAGTGCGAATTTTGGGTCTTTCCTTAGGAAATCTTTTTGCATATTACCTGAAACTTTGCCAGCATTTACAAAGTCCTCATGTTTACCAGAAAACTTGGATAGGTTTTTCAGAAGTGTTGTGGCAAGCATTCTATCCTATATTTGCTTTTCCAACACCCACTGATTTCATAACTAAAGAAACAAAATATTTAGGATCCTAGGGAAAGCTAGCTATCTTTCTGTGGTTACAGTTATTTGTTTGCAGGTGTGGCTATTTCTTTTTGCTGTTTACCTTATCCAGGGACTGACTGGGTGTTAGCTTGGTAGTAACTTCAGGGCCTACAGTTTAGGTGAGGGTATCAGACAAATAAAGTTCACCTTTCATGGGCCCTTTATGAACTGAAGAACAAATGTCATAACTTCTACCTGGCAGGAACTACTTTTGTTACTAAAATTCATTTTGGGATAGACTGGAGCGTTTCTAGGTGGCTTCATATTCTACATTGAGTGTTGTGTAAGGTTCGTGTTTTGTTGGGAGACACTAGGGACAGTGGTAGAGATGGGATGGAAGACGTGCTGTGATAGGAGGTGGTGCAGGCGCAGTGACAGGAGTGAGCAGGCTGATGCTCTCCTGCGAAGGAGGACGAAGGAGTGCCCATACCGAGCACGGCTGCGCCAACACTGGCTTCTCTGCATTGAAGGTATTTCAGGTTCTCTACTTTTGCCCTTAAAGGCTTCTAAACCAATTTCTTTAGACTTGTGGAAAATCAGCGAGGAAGATTGATTGGATTGTGTGGTAAACACCCCAACCTCACATAGAACAAATGTGAGTTAATTTATTTTTTTAAAAATCACTATAGGCAGTTGGAAGGTTTGTTTTTGTTTTTGTTGTTGTTTTTTTTTTTTTTTTTTTGGTCGGCCATGGGGCCTGAACTCTGGGCCTGGGCGCTGTCCCTCAGCTCAAGGCTAGTGCTCTACCACTTGAGCCACAGCACCACTTCCGGCTTTTTTCTTTTTGCTTATGTGGTGCTAAGGAATCAAACCCAGGGCCTCATGCATGCATGCGAGGCAAGTGCTCTACCACTGAGTCCAGTTTGAAGGGTTTTTGTTGTTGTTTTTGGTGATGGTCGTGGTGGTGATAGTCATGGGCTTGAATTCAGGGCATGATCCCTGAGCTTTTTGCACTCTACACTTTGAGCCACTGCGCCACTTCCGGTTTTCTTTTCTTTTTTATTTTAAATTTTTATTGTAAAGGTGCTGTACAGGGGGGTTACAGTTATATGAGTAAAACAATGAGCACATTCCTTGTCGAGCATTGTTATCCCTTCCCTTGTTCTTCTCCCACTATCCTTTCCCTCCCTCACCCTCCCCCACCTCGAAGTTGTAAAATTCATTTCCAATATACTGTCTTGTAAGTATCATTGCAATGGATCATCCTGTGTCCTTGTTTCAGCGTTTTGTTATTCCCCTCCCCAGATTAGACAAATCACTTCCAGTTTTTTAATGGTTAATTGGAGATCAGAGTCTCAAGGACTTTCCTGCCCCAGCTGGCTTTGAACCGTGATTCTCAGATCTCATCCTCCCTAGTTACTAGGATTACAGGTGTGCCACCAGTTCCAGTTAAGGTTTTTGTTTTGTTTTGGTGCTAATTCTGGGGCTTGAATTCAGGGCCTGGACCTTGTCAACCTGAGCTGTTTATTCAAGGCTAGTGCTCTACCACTTAAACCCACAGCTCCACTTCCAGATTTTTGGTAGTTAATTGGAGATGAAGCCCAGGCTGGCTTCAAAGTGGGATCCTCAGATCTCAGCCTCCTGAGTAGCTAGGATTATAGATGTGAGCCACTGGTGCCTGGCTACAATCTGAGTTCTGAAGATGGATAGTTAATACTTGTTACATATTGTAGCTTTTTTGTGTGTTCTGGTACTGGCTCTTGAACTCAGGGCCTGGGCACTGTCCCTGAGCTTTTGCTCAAACCTAATGCGCTACCACAGCCATGGACTTTCCTGCCCTGGCTGGCTTCAAATCATCATCCTTAGATCTCAACCTCCTGAGTAGCTGAGGTCACAGCTTGAGCCACCAGTGCTCAGCCATATGGTTCCCTATAATACCATTGAGCTCATTCCAGAACTAATTGGAAGAATGGATTTTGGTGTGGAAGAACTTAGTTCCCAAGTAGTTACAGTTCAGGACCCAGAGAAGAAATGATACTGAAGACAGTGGCTTTGTCTGGGCTTCAGTTTCCTTATCTGTAAAACAGGGATGATGCCACCTTCCTTTGAAGACTTTTCTGAGGATTCACCATGTTACTTCATATAAAGTTCTTTGCATAATGCTGGGTGCAAAGTGAGCATCTCATTAAGTGCTGTCATTGTTACCATTGTTAGAGGTTGTAAATATGTGTTCCCTACAAAGTGAGCACAGGGTCCTCTGAAGCACTTCTTAAAGCAGCTGACCAAACCCAGTCTTCTCTGTTTTCTACCACTAACAGTAGATTTGCCTCTTGCTTAACTTTTATTTTTTAGCTCTTTGCTTCCTTTTATACTGAGGTGTTTTGATATAAATACTTAGGAGGCAAGTCATCTAGGTAACATAAACATTTGATCCCTAATTTCAGACTCTAGTGTTAGTTATCCAAATAATGACTGATGGATTTGTTTTCAACAAAACGACCATGAGCTGGGAGCTGGTGGCTCACACTTGTAATCCTAGCTACTCTGGAGGCTGAGATCTGAGGATAGGGGTTCAAAGCCATCCTAGGCAGGAAAGTCTGAGACTTTTTTTGTTGGTGGTGGTGGTGGTTGTCATGGGCCTGAACTCTGGCCCTGGGCGCTGTCCCTCAGCTCTTCAGCTCAAGGCTAGCCACTTGAGCCTCAACCCCACTTCTGGCTTTTTCTGCTTGTGTGGTGCTGAGGAATGGAACCCAGGGCCTCATGCATGCAAGGCAACTACTTTACCACTGACCCTTCCCAACCCCTGTGAGACTCTTATCTCTAACAAACTACCAGAAAACCGAAAGTGGTTCTGTGGTTCAAAGTGTTAGAGCCCTAGCCTTGAGCAAAGGAGCTCGGGGAAAATGTCCAGGCCATGAGTTAAAGCCCCACGACTGACAAAACTGGACCATAAGCCAGGTGCCAGTTGCTTACACTTGTTGACCTTGCTCCTCAGGAAGCTGAGATCTGAGGATTACAGTTTGAAGCTAGTCCAAGCATGAAAGTCTGTGAGACTTTTTTTTGTTGTTTTTGGCCTTGGGGCTTGAACTCTGGGCTTGGATGCTGTCCCTCAGCTCTTCAGCTCAAGGCGAGCGCTCTACCACTTGGGCTACAGCACCACTTCCAGTTTTCTGGTGGTTTATTGGAGATAAGAGTTTCATGGACTTTCCTGCTCAGGCTGGCTTTGAACCGCAATCCTCAGATCTCAGCCTCTTGAGTAGCTAGGATTACAGGCGTGAGCCACCAGCGCCTGGCTCTATGAGACTGTCAACCCCAATTAACCACCAAAAGGTTAGAAGTGGAGTTGTGGTAGAGCACCATCCTTAAGCAGAAAAGAAAAGGGACAGAGACCAAGCCAAGTTCAAGCCCCAATATTGGCAAAAATAAATGCTGAATCTTGGCTTAAATTGCCAAGATGATTATATAATGTTCTTCCTACTCTACTTCTGCAGCCCCTATAGCAGCCTTAGACAGGATGATGGATATTTAATTCTTTTTGGACTTAGAAGCAGGGTTAGTTCATTTATATGCCTAGACTGATTTAGATTTTTGCAATTAAACCAGAAGCATGTGTCATAGTTGTGTGCATTGGTCAGAACCTGCCTCTCAGCCTTTGCCTTTTCTAGTAGCGTCAGGGCCTCCGGTGTGGCTGCTACCATCCTCAGCCCAGCTCTGCGCGGTGTGTGTGGTGTAAGGTGTGCCTGGTGTTTGCTGAGACGGTGCTCAAAGTCTCATTCAAACGCAAGGCTGTCTCTCTGTCCACATTAAGCTGAAATCTTCTAAAGTCTATGGAGCCCTTAGAAAATTCAGTCTAGCAACTGACTTATATTTAGCTCAGTGATTTCAGTTAGGCATAGAAAAGACTACAGATCTACCTCCAAGTAATTACCCAAACTAGAGAGAAAGACAAAAAGGCAGATGGGCTAGGGATCTAAGTGGAATAGTAATGAAACTCTGTGTATTCTTTTTTGGTGTAAGATTTTCCAAGTGGCCCAAATCCAAAGGCAGTGAAAGGAAATGGTGGATCAGTTTATGGCATGATATGGTAGATAGGACTTCACAGGGTAATGCTAGAGACATTAAGAAGGGGGCAGGGTAAGGATGCAGGTTGAGTATGCCTCTCCAAGATGTTTGGGGCCAACAGTGTTTCAATTTTCAGATTTTGGGATGTTTGCAAATACATTGAGATTTTTGGAGGTGAAAATTATTAATGTTTCATATATATATATATATATGCCTTATACATATAGCCTAAAGGTAATTTTATACAAGATTTTTAATATGTTTTTATTGTGAAAATAGTGTACAGAGGGGTTACAGTTACATGAGCAAGGTAATGAGTACATTTCTTTTTTTGGGGGGGGGTCTGGTCTTGGGGCCTGAACTCTGGGCCTGGGCGCTGTCCCTCAGCTCTTCAGCTCAAGGCTAGCGCTCTAACACTTGAGCCACAGCGCCACTTCCGGCTTTT